CACCAAACCTGTTCAGAATGTGACATTTCCTCTTCCTTGCCTGAAGGGAGAGGCTCATGTGAGCCACCGACTTTTGGATGGCTGAAAGGTAGCCTACTGTACAAAAGCATACCCTCCAACATTTCTCCAGTGAAAATAGGGACATCCCATTCCATCATGATAGTTTTACTATTTATACCCCACACACCTTACTGGGTTGCCCCAGCCACTCTGGGCAGCTTCCAACATATATAAAAACAAAATAAAAAAGAGGAGAGCGCAAAATATGGTATAAAGTTCAACATCAAAAAAACATCATGGCCACTGGTCCCATCACCTCCTGGCAAACAGAAGGGGAAATGGAGGCAGTGAGAGATTTTAATTTCTTGGCTTCCATGATCACTGCAGATGGTGACAGCAATCACAAAACTAAAAGACGCCTGCTTCTTAGGAGAAAAGCGATGACAAACCTAGACAGCATCTTAAAAAGCAGAGACATCACCTTGCCGACAAAAGCCCGTATAGTTAAAGCTATGGTTTTCCCAGTAGTGATGTATGGAAGTGAAAGCTGGACCATAAAGAAGGCTGATCGCCAAAGAATTGATTGTTTTGAATTCTGGTGCTGGAGGAGACTCTTGAGAGTCCCATGGACTGCAAGAAGATCAAACCTATCCATTCTTAAGGAAATCAGCCCTGAGTGCTCACTGGAAGGACAGATCCTGAAGCTGAGGCTCCAATACTTTGGCCACCTCATGAGAAGAGAAGACTCCTGGAAAAGACCCTGATGTTGGGAAAGATGGAGGGCACAAGGAGAAGGGGACGACAGAGGATGAGATGGTTGGACAGTGTTCTCGAAGCTACCAGCATGAGTTTGACCAAACTGTGGGAGGCAGTGGAAGACAGGAGTGCCTGGCGTGCTCTGGTCCATGGGGTCACGAAGAGTCGGACACGACTAAACAACTAAACAACAACAACAATACAGGATTGCCTTCAGGCAGCTTGGGGGTCATATAACTCCATGCCCTCCAACATTTCTCCAATGAAAATAGGAACATTCTAAGGAAATGGTCAGAATATCCTGATCAGAAACCAGGACAGTTTCTTTAAATCAGGGACATCCCTGGAAGATAGGGACACTTGGAATGTCTGCAAAAACAAGACTCGCATCCATTGCTTGAGCTCAGTTCCACCCATTGCTAGCATGTGGCCCTTGGCAAGTTGCCTACCAGCAAATGTGGCCCACCGGCTTATCATGGTTCCCCAGCCCGCGCAGAAGATCACATATTTGCATGCCCAATGCATCTGTTTCACTGCCTGTGCATGTACAAGAAAGCTGTAGCCAAGAACAGAATACAGATCAGTTTAGAACCAGGTATCATCTCATGCTGGAACCAATCACAGCATTGCCTCTTTCCAAGCAGTAGCTCGGGCTCATTTCAAACTTGCAATGTCTTTTAGAGTGGCATTCAGAGCAACATTCAAACTGGAATGAGTTAGCCGAGCAGTGAATGATTATTCTTGTATTTATTCCAGCAGCAAATGAGAAGGAATAGGTGGAGTTTCATAATAAAAGTCATTATAAGAAAATGACTTATCAGGGTCTCTAATGAAATGTTGTTCCTTGTTTAAGAACCCTCTGCTCCTTCACGTATTTAATCAATGATTCCTGCTTTTACTCATCAATAAAAATTACTGAGAGCCACCTTTGTGGGCTGAATAAGGGCTTGATAGTCATTAACATGTGCCGACATTGATCTATGATCAATATGGACTATAATTCTCCTATCCTTTGCTTTTGAGTCAGAGCGCAGGAGTAGCAAATGAATTAATTAACCACCAGCCTTTTCTGAGCACTTTCATTGATTAAACTGTGTTAACAGTGCTGTGCCATGACACACAAGTTCTTTCCACTGAAAATCTGTGGAAGGATACAGAGTTGTCATTTGAAACATTTCACTGCTTGGACAAACCTGGACATCAAGTATGTTTTTGCCAGTTGTGTCTGGCATACAACCAATCTGGTGTTTTCTGGTCCATTCTGTGATTTGATTCCTGTTTATAGCTCAGTAGTGGTGATTGGGACTGAGCCAAATCGTGTGTGTGTTTCAGACATTATTCGATTTAAAAATTCATGCTCTGTGGAATGTACAATTGACCGTTTTTCAAAGTGGGATTTCGAATACAGACAGGAAACATTTCCTTCACTCTGATTTGATTTTGTGATATTAGCACATAGCCAGATCGAAGTGGCTTCATGCCATCTTCAGGAAACCTTCCCAAAAATCCTGTTTGCAATAGAAGCAATGCTTCTTAACCTCTGATTTTGCTCTGTGATGTCTGCATCCTACTGATGACACTTTGCAATCCTAATGATGCCATTTTGACTCATAATGTAATGACCTCCTGCTTTGTTAATCTGGAAACTATGATTTTATAATTGAAGAAACACATCTATCACACTTGCTAGCTATCACACATAATAGCTGCTTTGGAATGATTATTGTCTCAAAGACAAAAGTCCCGTGTATAGAGGCCATTTTGATAGCAGTTTCAGAATCCCAGTATCACTGATCCCAGTATCACTGATCATAGCTGTCAAGTGTCCCTTATTTGAAGGGACAGTCCCTTATTCCAGCGCCATGTCCCGCTGCTGTCCCTTATTGATGGATGTCCCTTAAATGTCCCTTAAATGATGTCCCTTAAATTTCAAAGGAAGCAGCTCCTCTCCCTCCCTCCCTGCCGGCCAGGGAAGAGGGAGGCTCCAACTGTGTTGCTTGGCTGCGTTGCTCACCCAATAAGAAGTCTAAGAACGACTGGGGGGTGGAGCTTGCATGCCTTGTGTGTGGCTAGTTAATGCAAGCTGAGGGGGGCTTTGAATGCTGGGCGCCATTTTGTTGCATGTGCTGCTGCAAACTTTGCAGTGCAAAGCCAGGCCAGGGAGCCATCTTAAGTTGAGGCTGCATAGGCCTTGTGGTGCATGTGATTCAGATTCTATTCAGTTGAACCTCTGGTTACAAAGTTGGTTGGACAGTGTTCTTGAAGCTACCAGCATGAGTTTGACCAGACTGCAGGAGGACAGGAAGACTGGAGTGCCTGGAACAGGTGAGGCTGCAGGTCCCTTATTTTGGCTGCTGGTCCCTTATTTTCAAGGCTGCTGGTCCCTTATTTTCAAATCTGTAAGTTGACAGCTATGTCACTGATCCCAGTATCACTGATCACAGGTATGATGGACTGAAAGACTAAAGATATGATACCCTTTAATCAATGGATTGACAATATGACAACACTCACAACTTATGAACAGACTGCTTACAGGCACACTTTGTTTGGATATATATGATAACATTTGGAATGAGTTAATACAGAATGCGGTAGGCTGTTAACATATACATAAGTATTAGGATAATAACACAATGTCAATTTATATAAGAATGTATGGGAGTATCTTAGATTGCATTTTGTGTGTCTGTTTCTTACACACATCTTTGTTTTTACTCCCCCTCACTTTTCCTTCTTTTTTCTGTATCTATTTATTTTTTTATAACTAAAATTATTTCAATAAAATATACACATTTTAAAAGGCTGCAAATTTATTATTATAGTTTTGTACAGAACCATGTACACTGATGGTGCTATATTAATAAATGTTAATAATAAGAGAACGGGCCTTTACTGTGGTGGCTTCCCAACTGCAAAATGCTCTCCCCAGAGAGGCTCACCTGGCGCCATCACTGCATATCTTTAGGTGCCGGGCAAAAGCATTCCTTTTTACCCAGGCCTATGGCTATTAAGTACAGTGGTACCTCGGGTTACATACGCTTCAGGTTACAGACGCTTCAGGTTACAGACTCCACTAACCCAGAAATAGTACCTCGGGTTAAGAACTTTGCTTCAGGATGAGAACAGAAATCGTGCTCCAGCGGCGCAGTGGCAGCAGGAGGCCCCATTAGCTAAAGTGGTGCTTCAGGTTAAGAACAGTTTCAGGTTAAGAACGGACCTCCGGAATGAATTAAGTACTTAACCCGAGGTACCACTGTAATCTATGGCTTGTGAAAGCATGGGGGAGAGGACTGTTATTATGATGACTACTTTATTATTAGGCCAGGGGTCAGCAAACTTACTGTGCCTCGGGCCGGTGTCTCCAGCGCCGATGGCGCGGCGGGCTGGAGGGCGGGGGAGCTCATGCCCATACTCGTGCGCACACGCTATTTCTGGTGCACTTCCGGGTCGGAGGAACACCAGAAATAGCTGGTGTGCATTTGCACAGGCCTCCTCCGACCCGGATGTGCACTGGAAATAACTCTTGTGCATGCGCACAAGCTATTTCCGGTGCTCCTCCAACCCAGAAGTGGGCAGCCACGCCGCGCCAGTAAGAGTGGGCAGTGGCAGTGGGTGGCAGGGGTCGCCGCAGGCCAGATAAACGAGTCCCTCAGGCCTTATCTGTCCCACGGCCCTTAGTTTGGGGACCCCTGTATTAGGCTGTCTGTCAGCATGCTTTTTATTATGTTTTTTTTATCGTCGATGCTCTGTACAGTGCTACCTCGGGTTAAGAACTTAATTCGTTCCGGAGGTCTGTTCTTAACCTGAAACTGTTCTTAACCTGAAGCACCACTTTAGCTAATGGGGCCTCCTGCTGCCGCCGGAGCACAATTTCTGTTCTCATCCTGAAGCAAAGTTCTTAACCCGAGGTACTATTTCTGCGTTAGCGGAGTCTGTAACCTGAAGCGTATGTAACCTGAAGCATATGTAACCCGAGGTGCCACTGTAATGTGTTTTTAATTTTGTACACCACCCTGGGATCTTCTGTTAAAGGGTGGTATATAAACTGAATAATAATAATAGGAAACATCATCAGTGTCAGGAGGGGGTCGTGCATTCAGAGTGCCTCTAGCTCTCATTTGTTAAAGTTACGGTTGTAATATCTGCCTGAGTCAGATGCTGCTCCCACTTATGCTGAGTCAGTAGAGCTTCACTAGTGTCACAGCAACTGTTTACAAAGGATACTCGAGCAAAAGACAAGGATGAGCAGCAAGATCCCATTGAAGACCAACAGACATGCAGCTAAGGTGCCCTTCAACACCTTAACACTGGCATCACCCACAGGGTTTTTCACCAAGGACACCGGCATGCTTCATTATGATGCAATCTGGGCAGTAAGGCATTTAAATCAAAGGGGTTTCTCCCCCCCCCCACCCCCAGCTACTGTACTTGAAGTGAAGTGTGATTCACTGTGAGTAAGGGCGATCGAAGCAGTCCCTTTCAGTAAGGACAATGCATGCTGGGTGGTTATTCGCTCCTCTGTGTTGCCTTGTCTTAAACAGGGGTCAGCAACCTTTTTCAGCTGTGGGCCGGTCCACCATCCCTCAGACCATGTGGTGGGCCGGACTATATTTTGAGGGGGGGGGAATGAACAAATTCCTATGCCCCACCAATAACCCAGAGATGCCTTTTAAATAAAAGGACACATTCTACTCATGTAAAAACACCAGACAGGCCCCACAAATAACCCAGAGATGCCTTTTAAATAAAAGGACACATTCTACTCATGTAAAAACACGCTGATTCCCGGACCATCCGCGGGCCGGATTGAGAAGGCGATTGGGCCGCATCCGGCCCCCGGGCCTTAAGTTGCCTACCCCTGGCTTAAGAGTTAATGACAACGTTGTCAGCTCTGTTTTATGGAGTCAAGCCACGTGGATTTTTTTTACAAGCATACTGTCAGGGAACTGCCATCAGTGCCAGAGGGAGAGAGCAAAATCCAGAGGGATTCCAGAGAGCGTCCCAGGATTGGGAGAGGCAGCCCATCTTCTGGGGAAGAGAAACAGCGTAGCACCAGTGGAGAAGGGGGGCAGATGGGGGAAGCGGCGAGGCGGTCCCATGACTCCTTGCCGGGGACCAGCGGGGAGAGTAGGGGTCCTCCGCTGCCTATGCCCTCCTTGCGCAGAAGGCTTTTGCGCAGAGAGAGTAGGAGGAGACTAGGCGTCAAAGAGCTTCTTTGCTGGAAGAAGTTTAAGAAACGCCCACTGACGGATTCTGCCAGCAATTGAGACAGCCACGGGTGACTGGCTGTCCGGACAGAAAAGGTTCACTCAGGCAACCCAGCCAGGTGTTTGCACCAGCTTACGCACGAGCAACCCCTAGAACCACTACACATACGTATATGGGATCAGGGGCAGGTAGCGTTTACGTAGATTAGAAATGAGTTCATGGCTACATCTGCAGACACGCATCGCTCTTAGGCAGCTGCATCTCAACTGTACTTCCTTTCATTTCCCAGCGCAAAGAAACTTTTCTCTCTGTTTTCATTACAGACTGAACCCTTCTCAGGGAGAATTCCACACCGCTTATCCTTGAACACAGAATCCAGGTGGCCGTTGAATTGCTCTGACCCTGGACAGTTGCCAGAAAGCCATTTAAGGCTGCCAGATGAAGCAGCAAAGGGCCTCTGGGAGAGGCTGCTGAAAATGCCCTTTCCGCAAATTAGCAGGAAAAGAGCAAGTAGCTTAGACCTCACCGACATTCTTCTAATATCTGAAGAGTCTCCAGCAGCATCTCCTGACTCTTGCAGCTGCTTTCCACTTTAGGCATCATTTGCAGATCTCCTGGCAACTTCCTGACTCAATCCAACTGAAAACCACCCCACCTGCCAGCAATATCTTTCTACTAACAGCAGCAGGGTTCATAATCTGTTGTTCAGTGGCTGCTCTCAGAGACAGCTTCCAGGGCAGCACTTGAGGGATGAAAAGGTGGCACAAACTAAAATAAAAATAAAAATTGGGAGGGGGGAAGATATTACTAAATAAAGAACCAATGCTAAAAAGTGAGTACCTAATGCACAGTTGGTCCAAAAATAATAATAGAAATCAGCAGGTAATTATGCAAGGTAATAACATTCCAAAAATCCAGTCATTGGAGACTGGGAGTTGCCTGACTGTAATGACCATGACTCCAACTATAGGATATTAACAGCTTGTCATAAATGATGACTGCAATTCTATACCATTTACCAAAAAATAAGCCAAATGGCCTTCAAGTGTGACTTCCTTTGGAGTAAAGATGTATAGCACAGCACAGCACTGCACTGCACGTTCTCTTTCCTTCAAATATTGTGTTCTTTTGACCTCCAGTTCCTTACCTATGGCACAATATGATCTGTTCATTAGCTATTCCTTGTCCTTCATTTAGCACACAATTCATCCTTGTAAGTCAGTAACATCGTGTTTCTTCCCCCAATGTCCTGAACTTAGCAGGTGCTGTTTGCCCTTTTCGTAGTGTTGCTTTTACGTAAGACTTAAAGGAAGAGACTTAGCCACTCGATGTTCATTCAAAAAGTACATCCTGCAAGGTTACAATTCAAGGACAGGACTGGGGAACAGGACAGGACAGGACTGGCTTATACCTGTGGCCAGTTGCCAAGCAATGCCTTAGTGCCAGGTGATGCTGTGGGATAGCTCAGTCAGTAGAGCATGAGGCTCTTAATCTCAAGGCCGTGGGTTTGAGCCCCACATAGGGCAAAAGATTTCTTCATTGCAGGGGATTGTACTAGAATGATCCTAGCAGTCCCTTCCAACTCTATGATTCTATATTTCTCATATGAACTTATCGTTTACCCCAATGCCTAGGAAGCTTCATAGAAATTACTGGACAAGGAAACCATGGCTTAAGTCCTCCTGGATCAGCCCCAAAGTCTAAGAAGCAGTAATGGTGCACACCTCTACTGCAGTCTTTTCCAAACTTGGGTCTCCAGCTGTTTTTGAACTACAGCTTCCATTATCCCTGACCTGGAACCCTTGAAATCTTGCACTGCTTGGAGACTGGGGTTGCATGCAAGAGTATGTTTAAGAACACCGGGGCAATTTAGCTGATGGGTAGGAAGAATCCTAGGAAGGTCAGAGGCCACTGGTTTCTAGTATTTGCAAATCCTGAAGGAGCGTCTCCACCCCCATCGTTCAGCCCAGACACTGAGGTCCAGCTCCGAGAGCCTTCTGCCGATTCCCTCCCTGCAAGAAGTGAGGTTACAAGGAACCAGGCAGAGGGCCTTCTCGGTAGTGGCAGCCGCCCTGTGGAACGACCTGCCATTTGATGTCAAGGAAATAAACAACCACCTGACTTTTAGAAGGCATCTGAAGGCAGCCCTGTTTAGGGAAGTTTTTAATGTTTGATGTTTTATCGTGTTTTAAATATTCTGTTGGAAGCTGCCCAGAGTGGCTGGGGAAACCCAGTCCGATGGGCGGGGTATAAATAATATATTATTATTTTTATTTTTTTATTTTTATTATTATTATTATTATTATTATTATAGCTCTAGTCTGGCCTGACATTATGTAAATGAACATGATATCGAAATATATGAAAATGGCATGCAACTAAAATATGCAACTATAACAGCAGCCCTTCAAATTCGGATATGTTTACAGAAGGTAGCCCTTTCCTGCTGGGAGTAGGAAATGGGACCAAATACAAATCTTTAATATGCCTTGGGTCTTGCTATCTGGGGATGATGGGAGTTGTAGTCCAAAAGACAGCTGGGGACCCAAGTTTAGGAAACACTGCTTTACTGGAAGGAGAAATGATTATCAACCAACAGAAAGGTAAGGGTTTAATTCTGGGACCTGGAGTTGCCCCTGACCTCAGGAGCACTATTAAATTTTGCCTGTAAACATTATCAAGTAAAAGGTTGCATTCAGCCATTAACAGTAGCTGGAATTTCCAAACAGAAGGCAATCTGCCAAATACATTATGTACTCAGGACGGTCTTTGATTATGTTTTTTCAGGCCAAAAAAATATATTAAAAAATCAAGCTTCTTTTCTTCTTCTTTTTTTAAACTGCTGTTTAGAAAAGATTCTAGGTTTTCTTTCTTCATAGATGGGCGATGGAGGGGGGGAGTTAAAAGGAAGTGCTACATTTTTTAAAACCACCTGTGAGCTCATGAAAAAGCCTGAGACTTGAAAGGAAAAACACACGGAGGTGCTTAACCAAAACAGACAGAATATCCCTTGAATCACCACAAAAATAATTTCCCTTCTAATGTGGGGAGATTACTCACAAGAACTGGCAGCTATGCAAATAACCTTCACAGCGTTTGGGAATTTTTTTTTCCCCTTCCACAACAGATTTCAAAGAAGGAGCTTGCTTTCAGGAAGAAAGAGAGAAAGAGTCCAAGATGACTCAAAAGCAGAAAATTGCAGGATGTTGCTTATTTACAAAGCTTACTTCAGATTTTCTATATCCAGTGCTACATTTTGCATGCCAAGACCTAGGGCATATTAAAGATTTGTATTTAGTACCATTTCCTACTCCCAGCAGGACAGGGTCAGGGAACCTGTTCCACACCAAGAACTACCTCCTGTAAACATAGCAAAATTTGAAGGGCTGCCATTATAGTTGCATATTTTAGTTGCATGCCATTTTCATATATTTAGATTTCATGTTCATTTACATAATGTTAGGCCAGGCTAGAGACTTAATAGTGTGTGTGTGTGTGTGTGTGTGTGTGTGTGTGTGTGTGTGTATATTCCTTCTCCGCCCATCGGGCTGGGTTTCCCCAGCCACTCTGGGCGGCTTTCAACAGAATATTAAAAACACGATAAAACATCAAACATCAAAAACTTCCCTAAACAGGGTTGCCTTCAGATGCCTTCTAAAAGTCAGATGGTTGTTTATTTCCTTGACAACAGATGGGACAACAGGGCAGGTGCCACTACCAAGAAGGCCCTCTGCCTGATTCCCTGTAACCTCAATTCTCGCAGGGAGGGAACTGCCAGAAAGCCCTCGGAACTGGACCTCAGTGTCCAGGCTGAATGACAGGAGTGGAGACGCTCCTTCAGGATTTGCAAATACTAAAAACCAGTGGCCTCTGACCTTCCTAGGATTCTTCCTACCCATCAGCTAAATTGCCCCAGTGTTCTTAAACATACTCTTGCATGCAACCCCAGTCTCCAAGCAGTGCAAGATTTCAAGGGTTCCAGGCACTAACCCATGGTCCGTGTTTCCTTTTGGAAATAAGGCAAAGCAGAGACTGTGGTGCCCTTATGATATATGGTTTATTTACACATATCTACAACCTGAGCCTACGACGAAGGGGTTCACAGCATCAACACCCCAAAAGGGTCTTGCTTCTCCCATAGCCACAGCCAAACAGAAATCAAGCATCGTGCTCTGCCTACTGCTTTGCTTCTCAGTCCCATAACGCCTAACTTTAAGGTTCTAGCTCACATTGCTCCTAACTCTCTATCCTCTAAGCTCTGGCTTTATCTGTTATGGGCTATTTGCCATCTCATACCAAGTCCCTTTGATCCCATGTTCTCTTAATAACCCATCACCCAGGCAATCACCTCAACACAAGAGGCTAGCCTGGCTTAATTAGCTTTTACCACTTGTTAGATCCACGGACTATCAGTGTCCAACACACAGCTCAGCACCTCAAGCCTTAATTAAATTCTAACACTTGCTGGATCTGGGGATGAAAGTGGTCTGGCACTCAGAAACTCATAACACTATTAACTTCCAGGGGTAAAAGCGTTAGCGGTATGAAAACTGACAAATCATATCACTTTCAAATTCAAAAATATCCAACCATCTGGAAGGATCCTTTGATATAAATATGATATTGCAGAATAATTATTTGAGCCTTTTAAAAAAAGTTTCCCTCATTTTTATAATACATCTCTGCAAACATAAGAACTAGCAGCTTACTTTTTTAAAAAATGCTAGTAACTAATGGATAAAAAGCACAAAAAGGTCTTGGTAGACACATGCAGCCCAGAGCTTGTGCATTAATCATCCTTGAGGTAGGACACTGAGCTTGATACAAACTTGCAGAGCAAAGTTTTAAGCCAGATGTACTGATGCGACTTTCTTCTTCTGCAGTCCTGTGATGGATGATCATCTTTCCTGAAACGACAGTCTCAACTGAGCTTTCTAGTAAACTTGTGATGACGGGAAGGCAGTTTGCTGTTTGTCTACCAGTTTTTGTTGTTGTTCTTTTAAGTGAAGCCTTTTTGCTTTTAAAAAACGAGAGAGGAAACACTTAAAAAAAAAAAAAGATAAGAGGAATGACTTTCCTTAAAAACTAAATCAGTGGCTCCACCAATCTCAAGTGTGTTTTAGCCAGTCTCCCTGGCTTCCCACATTTCGAGTAAAGCTCAGGGCAAGACAACAGGTGGTAACTTCTCCCGTGGGGCTTTTCAAATCAGGCAGCACAGACAGCTGGGGAGGCTGCAAAGTGCTGGAAAAATGTTGAATGGAAAGAAAAACACCCACATAGCTGTTACAACATAATAGGTTTTGGTAGCCATGGAAGAGCTAGCATGTAGAATTCCTGCAAGTCATGCTGAGATACTTTTCTGAGAACCATTTGGATAATGCTTTGTACTTGGGCCAGAGAGATGTTGAATTACCGTATTTTTCGCTCGATAACACGCACCTGACCATAACACGCACATAGTTTTTAGAGGAGGAAAACAAGAAAAAAAATTCTGAATGAAACAGTGGATGTATCATTTTTGTGCTTCATGCTGTGGCTACAGACATGTGATTTGACGGTGAGTTTGGGGTAGCTCAATGCAAAAATTATTTATATTCAAATATTTAATTTAATTGCATTAGCATACAGCCATAGCAAAATAAGACAATACAAAAAATGTTGGGGACAAGCAACCAAGCAAAATTCAAAGCGATATTGCTGGCGTAATGACATTTAAAACACCCTAAGACAATAATACAAAGATTTGGTTGCCAGCACCAAAAAACTAGTATGCGGATATAAATAAAGCATAAAATGGCCCCAAAATAGGCTCAGCACATTGAGTTAAAAAGGTAATAAAAGAATTAAACAGGTCCAGGACTAGGGCACACTACCCTGTCAGAGTAGCCCTGAGTTTCAGAGCCTGCACTGTGAAGATTGCCACCCCACGTGAAATTTGGGGATTTGCGTCCACAAGAAGTGCTTTCAGACAGTCTTCCTTAGATGAAATGGAGGACGGGATCAAGAGGAGGAGCTTAGGTCTTATTGGGTCATAAATAGGGCAGTAGAAAAAGAAATGTATGAAGTCCTCTACTTCATTCATTGTGCATGGACATAGACGCTGAGTAATAGGGGTCTTAGAGTAGGTCCCCTGCAGGAAGGCCGTGGGTATAGAATGAAAACGGGCCATTGTAAACGCTCTTCTCAAATTGGGCTCCGTCAGGTCTATCAAGTAGTTGGCAAGTGATCTTACCACTTTCACTTTAGGGAGCCACATGGAGAGGCGAGCTGAGGTGGACTGTGCCCGGTCCATGGCCTCATCTCTTATAAGAATCCAGGCCCGGATTTTATGTTGGTCCCAAGATGACAACGTGTCGAATTCTGGGAGGGAGTAGCGTACAGTAATAGTCTCCATGGCCTTGGACCATTTGTTGGAGTGAGAACAAGTTAAAAAGGCTTGCCTGGCTAGTAGGGAACCTGGGGCATTGATTAATTTGCAATAAAAACTAATAATTCTAATGTGGGCTCTCGCAACAATGGAGGGGAGGCCCAGTTCTGTTCTTAACTGAGCAGCAACCGAGCCCTTGGGGAGACCCAGTATCTTTCGTGCAAAAGAGTTTTGTAGAATCTCCAGCCGTTGTAGTGTTTTTAAATTCCACCCCCAGATTTCAACCCCATACAGTAACATCGGGAGGACTTTGCTAATAAATGCTTTTCTGATTGGTGGAACCAGCTGGCCGCCTATTGCATAGAAGAATTTCTCCAAGGCTTTGATGGTTCTACGGGCAGCCAGGATGGTCATATTTAGGTGAGCTGACCAGCTAAGCCCATGCTGAAAAGTGATTCCCAAATACTTGAAAGCTGAGCAATATTCAATAGAGTGGCCCTCAAAGTTCCAGAATGACTTCCGGGTTTTCGTGCCAAAAGTAAGAATTTTGGTTTTGGCGAAATTGATTTTGAGGGAATTGGTATCACAATATGTCATGAGCCCTCTGAGCATGTTGTTTAAGCCCTGCTTGGTTAAAGACAGTATCACCATGTCGTCCGCATAAAGTAATATGGGGATCTTGAGCTGTTGTAGAGAGGGGGCAGATTGATTTAGGGCCTGCATAGTTGTAACGATGTCGTTGATATAGAAATTGAATAGAAAAGGGGCCAAGAGGCAACCCTGTTTGACCCCTTTATTCAGAGGGAAAGAATCAGAAAGAGCTCCCAGGGGGCCGAATTTTACTCTGGCCGATATGTCATTATGAATTTCCATAAGAAGGAGGAGGAGTCTCTTATCTATGTTGGTGTAACTAAGCTTCTGCCATAACCTATCTCTGGGAATGGAGTCAATGCAAAAATCCTGAGAATCCATGTGGATCTGTGCTTTGTAACCACGTTTTTGCACCACTGTGGCCCCAGGCAACAGTGGGTGCGTGATTTTTTTGGTGCAGGCTGTAGCCATGGACATGCTATGTGATCTGATGGTGAATTTGGGGTGACCCAATGCAAAGATCCTGAGGATCCATGTGGATCCATGCTTTATAACCACATTTTTGCACCATTGCAGCCCAAGGCAACACTGGGTGCGTGATTTTTTTGGTGCAGGCTGTAGCCATGGACATGCTATGTGATCTGATGGTGAATTTGGGGTGACCCAATGCAAAGATCCTGAGGATCCATGTGGATCCGTGCTTTGTAACCACGTTTTAAGTGGGGAGGGAAGGAAAAACACAGAAGGGACAAGGAGCACGAGAGGGGTGTGCGGAGAAGCAGCTGGCTAGCAATGCAGGAGAGGGATTTAACGGGAGGGAGGAAAGGAAGGCAAAAGTTTCCCCCCACCCACCCAAGCCAGCCCCCCCCCTCTCTCTCTCCCACCTGCATTTTCCAGCTGCCTGCAATGCTGGACGCAGCAGCAGCAGCAGCGGAGCATGGAGAGGAGGAGGTGGTGGCTGTCGGCTGCGCTCCTAGCGAAAACAGTGGGCAGTAAGACCCTGAGGCAGAATGTAGGAAAGCAGCAACCTCCTCTTTTTAGCCTTCCCTCCTCCGTGATCTGATTTTTGCCTGATTTTTGCCCCTGGACTTGGGCCAGTCGGCTCCAGGGACCACACATTTGCTCAATAACACGCACAGACATTTCCCCTTACTTTTTAGGAGAAAAAATGTGAGTGTTATAGAGAGAAAAATACGGTACAGTCTCTGCTCAGCCACAAAATTCACTGGGTATCTTTGAACAATCACATGGAAAGGGCCACGACTGAGTGGTAGGGCACACACTAAATGTTCAGTTTCTCACTGTTGTCAAATTAGTCTCACCAGCTGGAGGATTGATGAGAAATCCTCCTGGCAATGATCTCAGTGATCAAGCTGGGATTTCAGGTGATCGCTGAGGTAACCTGGACCTAAGTGGTTGAGGGCTTTGTAAATCTGTTCTAAGGATCAAATGGGGAGAATCCTTAAATGGGGTCAGGATAATACTAGGAGAAATAAAAAGAAGAAAGGCCCTGATCTGAGATTTTATATTTATATCTACACAAAGAGAATGCTATATATCTAAGTTAAAAGGTAAAGGACCCCTGGACAGTAAAGTCCAGTCAAAGGCGACTATGGGGTTGCGGAGCTCATCTCGCTTTCAGGACGAGGGAGCCAGTGTTTGTCTACAGACAGCTTTCTGGGTCATATGGCCAGCATGACTAAACCAATTCTGGCGCAATGGGATACCATGACAGAAACCAGAGTGCACGGAAACACCATTTACCTTTCTGCCACAGCAGTACCTATTTATCTACAGTACTTGCACTGGCATGCTTTTGAACTGCTAGGTTGGCAGGAGCTGGGACAGAGCAACGGGAGCTCACCCCATCAAGGGGTTTCGAACTGACAACCTTCCGATCGGCAAGCCCAAGAGGCTCAGTGGTTTAGACCATAACGCCACCCATGTCCTGAATAAACAAGCACACAATCACTGATAGGTCCACCTGCCATCGTGAGGCTCAAAGCAATGAAGATGATGCCTCCCCAGCTGTTGTCATTGGCTGTGGGTTTCTTGTGATGTCACAAATGCCCTTGGCAACTGAGTGGATATAAAGGCAGACCAAGGGGAAAGCCCTTTTCTGTTTCCATCAAGACACACCTGGCAATGGATGTGACATTCAGCACTGCCCAGGTTTCTTCCACTTGGAGGAGGCAAACTGGTGAATGGAAGGAGGCAATCCTCTGGCAGTGGGATGCTAGGGGGAGATAATAAGGCAAGTTTGCTTGCTTGAAGGCTGCTGGTATCTGTGAGTAGAAGCTGGCAGACGTCTCATGATGGACCTAACAGTTGCTTCTGGCACAATGGGACACCGTGACGGGAACCAGAGCGCACGGAAATGCCGTTTCCCTTCCTGATGCAGAGGTACCTATTTATCTACTTGCACTGGCATGCTTTCAAACTGCTAGGTTGGCAGGAGCTAGGACAGAGCAACAGGAGCTCACCCGTTGCAGGGATTCAAACCGCCAACCTTCTGATCAGCAAGCCCAAGAGGCTCAGTTGTTTAGACCACAGCGCCACCCATGTCCCTATGTATCTGTGTATCTCTATATCTATCTATCTACCTAAATGTAAGAATCAATGGATGGATGGATGGATGGATGGATGTAGATATATTTATGTGTTCTCTTTGCTTTCAACAGATTTAGGCTGAAAAGGAGCATGTGCACTGAAAGTTAACAGCTGAGCAAACTTTTTAAAAAATGATGAATTACTCCACATTTACCGATAGCGAGGTCATCGGAAGGCACTTCCTCTTTAACTGCCAAATGACACATTGCTGTTCTGAATGCTCGTGTATCCCATGTGACCCACTTGGCGTAACCAAAATGAAGGAGAGCAGCTGGAGAGAGCCGAAGGAAGGGAGGATGTGGTTACTACTCGGAGGAAGAGAAAGCAAACATTAAAAAAAAATAAAGAATGCTTTCTTCAAAGTCTTTTCCGGTCTATAAAATCTCTTCTTTAAGTGGGCTTGTGTACACAGAAGCTTGCCATAACAGGAAGTTAGTACCTTTTTGAACATCTCTTTCTACTTTTTCAACCACCCGTGCTACTATTTCCTTTCGTTTCCTTTGCCTGCGTTCTGACATTCTGGTTTGGGGATCCCTTTTCTTTCATTAAAAGTACCCCACATCAAAAGCTCACTGAAACTAGCACAGAAGAAAGGAGCAGGGCATGTTCCTGGCAGCGTAAGCAAGGAAAGATACAACTGCCTGATAGGCCTCTCCTCTCACCAGGTAGCTCAGGACAGATGATGCTGTTTTGAGTAGCCAGTGATGTGGAAATGGACAAAGAGGTTTAGACACTCTAAGTAAAAATACGATGTGGAAACTCGGAGGCTCAAAAGCTTTTATCTGGGCTTCAAACTACCCCTGGATATATCATAATAAAGCAATCCCCCTTTTTCTAAAGCTTTAAAAGTCTTTAGAAAAGAGATGGATTTCCACCCACCCCCTTCTAATTGAAGGGTTTTGTTTGTTTGTTTTCAGGACATCCTAGGATTCCTCATCAATTAATGGGGGGGGGAATCACTGGTCCTTTTTTTAATGTGTTTGCTGTAGAATCCTCTTTATTGCAGGCGGTATTATTATAGCTGAATTCCAGGAATGAGCATAATTGTACCTTTTAACTAAATCAGGTTGACCTTATAAACCTATAGTATGGCAAGCGAATCGTATTCCCTTTTTCGTTGTTAATGTTTGTGCTTGTAGTTGAGTGGGCAGTTCTGTCTGAAGGTCAGTTTTTTAATGTCAGCTGGGTGGAACTTTGTGTTGTTGTTTTATTATTACTACCCAGTGGTTTTTTTCTGGGGGTACACATACCCCTCAACATTTTGCGAATCTTTGTACTTTTGTCCATTTACGGTATTTATTTCCCCTGATTAGAATGGTAAAATGGTGATATTCTTGAGTCCAAATGAGAGTACTCCTAAACATTATTTAAGAAAAAAGCAATGTTACTACCACTGTTATAGCATTCCATTGGTTTTGAATATGCTGTGATGGAGTGTTATGGCTTTTTAATTGCAGTTTGGCACTGTGGGGTGCCTATGAGCAAAGAATGCAGTGAAGATGTTTGCTAAATATTACAAATGACACCCTTGTGTGTGGTAAGTATCTAATGAAATGTATTTAGTATGAGAAGGGGAGAGCTCAGATTGACTGGTGAACAGCAAAGGCAGAGCCCGAGTGAGCAAAACATCATGTGCATTACAGCATAATTTTGTTTAAGTATCACATTTGTTATAGCATCATTATAGACCCTTGACAGATGGGCCAGTTTATTCTCCCATAGTGAGCCATTGCAGATGGAAGTTCAAGAAAAAGTCCGGTGATTATGAGGAGAAATTTATTTATACTTTGCATTTTTCCCTGATGGGACTGAAGGTAGCTTAAAGACAAAAATAAAAATAAAAATGCTTAAAAGGTAGGAGGAAATCATTTAAACAAACAATTAAACATTGAAATAATTAAAATTATATACATATTTTTAAAATCTATTAAAACCACACCAATAATCACAATAAAAACAGCATGGCACCAGCCCCTTAGTTAAAAGCAGTCCATTCCCAAAAGCCTGTTGGATCAAGAAAGTCTTCACCTGCTGGCAGAAAGACAAGAAAGGAGCCAGGAAGGAGTCATGTATTGTGACCTTAAAACTCTCCAATTCTCTTTATGATGTTATGAAAAGAACAATCACCATTCTTTCTGCTCTGAAGCCTTCTCACAGATGCCTAAATCTCCTCCTCCCCTGGGTTCTTTCCAAGCAATCTGAGACTATGCCAATGCCTCTGTCTCTGCTCCTCCCTCTTCATCCCTCTTTGAGTCCTGGGAGGCTGGGGAAAGGGGAACTTGTTGCAGCAGAATCCACCCTGGCTTCTTCAGCAGCCTGACTCATCTCTCTGCCTCTTGGTCTCCCTCCTCTCTTGTTTCAGCGTCTGCCTCTGATTCTGCCACAGACTCTCCTAGCTCACTAAGCCCTATTACTCCTTCAGCTTCTGCCACCTCCTCTTTCCAGTCATCTCCCTCTTCTCCCTCTGACTGTGGGGATGATTAGGGAGGCCGGAGAGGATATATTATTTAGCGATATCCTTCCTAACTTGCACTAGCAAGTTCCATATTCTAGCAGAGTTCCAAACATCCCCCTTTTTAAATTACGCAGTGATCAGCTTGTTGCTGACTCATCTGAGTCTTACTATAAAAGATTCCTTCCTGGTAAAATCCCTTCTAATCCCACTTAAAAAGAATAAGCACAAGAATCTGATTGACATTAATATAAAAGTAGTTTACTCACAGATTCATTCAGGTTCACAGACATATCACTAAAGGCAGGCTTAGGCTACATTACAACTACAGTGGTACCTCGGGTTACAGACGCTTCAGGTTACGCGATTTCGGGTTGCACACCGTGCCAAACCCGGAAGTACAGGTTACTTCCAGGTTTCGGTGCTCGCGCATGTGCAGAAGCGCTAAATCATGCTTTGTGCATGCACAGAAGTGCCAAATCGCGACCCGCACGTGCGCAGAAGCGGCGCTGCAGGTTGCGAACGTGCCTCCCGCACGGATCACGTTCGCAACCCGAGGTTCCACTGTAGAACTATTCCATAAAGAAGTTAGTCCCAAATGACTGCAACTAAGCAGTCACTTCTCCAAGCACACAGCAACGTACAAAATGGAGAACACACACTGATCAGAACATGGAGGCCATGTGCGCCTCCATCGAAATACAATGGACCACACCCTCTGCAAGTCACATGTAGTGGAAGTCTGTCCCAGCTCAGGAGGAAACAGGAAGTCGTCTCCTGAGTGGTACAAAACATCCCCTAACATGTCCACAGTAGGAAAGTTGTACTTGACTGCAGTTTTACATCCCACACTGATTCGTCATCATCCCACCCCCAATCTCCTGGCTCCGAGCCTTCTTCCCTTGGGGGTTCCCCCATCTGGTGCCTCCCACCATTCTCCTGTGTCCAGCCAGTCCATAACTGGGAATGATGAACCTGTGGCCCTCAAGATATTGTTGGACTCCAGGCTCCCATAATTCCTAACCGTTGGCCAGAATGATTGCAACTGATGGGAGTCCCAACGACGTTCGGAAGGCTGCAAGTTCCTAACCGTTGCACTGAAATATGCAACGGAACAATTGCATTAACAATAATATGTGAAGGATGTTAGTTATAAGAATTGTATTGTTTCATATATTGCTATTGTCTGTTTGTCAATTTATATAGTTTGTTTATTTGATGGTATGTATGTTTGTTGGTTGGTTGGTTTGCTTTCCTGGCATAAGTGTATCTATTTTAAAACAATAAACATATGCATAGGAAAAAAATAACAATAATATGTGAAGCAGCAGCAAAAAGCATAACACAAATTAGAATGCCTGAGGTGACTGAAACGCCTTAAACTGGATTGTGTGTGTTTTTATTGTTATTTTAGCTGTGCAGTTATTCCGTGTAACCCCTTGCTGAGCAAGTATGGGAAAGTGGCCTAGAAATGTTTTCAGTAAATTAAAAGAAAGAAAGAATGCACCTTTCCCCTCTGCACAGGAGAATCTACTGAAAAATCCCTCGGTTGGGACATTCCATTCTGGGCAGCAGCTTCCCAGCATGCCAGTCCATGTAGGGGCTGCATGCCTGGGTGGCCTATCAGCAAAACGTTTCCTCTCCATATCTCCGTTTCCTGTGCAACGTCATCTGCCTTCTGTCAGATAGTAGGTTACTGTGACAATGAGTGGATATGTAATATGCAAGTGAGCAATGACAGAGCAGAAAACCCCTGCACTGTTTTACTCAGAACTGCTAATTGCTGGCCCTCAGTTTGTTTCCAAATGCACTCGGAAATTCAATTTCCCTAATGACTAGTTAATGGGTGTGTGTGAGAGAGAGAGAGAACGAGAAAGAGAAAGCCTGCACAAAATAAAAACAAGAGGAAGACTGCTTTTAATCAGCAGGGACTTGGACAGATGCTGGCTGTGTAACTCTTCCTCCTGAACCCTGTAATTTCTGCATTTCCCGTCCTTCCCACTCCTTCCAGGTGCCTTTTTCATCCAGCTCCCATGAGCCAAATCCCTGGCATTGCCCCATTTAGTTATACACTTGGCCACTGCTGACTGAAGGAGACAAAAAAAAAAATTCCCATTTTATGGATGCCGTAGGGTGATCCTAAGCAAAAATCACTCACTCTGCCAAGATAAGGGATATCGATTTGGATTACTAGAAGGACATTAGAATAATCATATTGTGCTGTCCGAGTGACTAAAGGCCTGGGCTTAGGAGGGAAATTTGGGAAAAGTTACATCCTGCAAAGGGGGGAAAACTCTTCTGGAGTGCATCTCTTAAACACTTTCAATAATTGTTGTTATCCAATCCAATTGTCAGATAGGGAGGCGGGTGTTCTTTTTATCAATTTTCCATTTTTTTCAGTTATTTTTTCTCTGTTCTCTTTTTTTTTCTCTTTTTTATACAATTGTGTTTTGTAAGGATCATGAGCATTCTTTTCTTTTGCTTTATTTTTCTGCTTTTTTGATATATTACTTTTTATTATAAGGGATGGAAGGATCTGTCCATTTTGCTTCTCTCAGTTTCTTCAATTCAGTTCTCCACATTGCTGCTGAGATTTGCAGGTTTTTCTTCTCTCATGAAAAAAATTCAGCGATTTAGTGCGAATTTCTCTTGATGCACAACACGGCAACCCATGCCCCAGCATGGCCTAATGGTACAAAACATGCCAGGCGCCATTCAAATCTCAGTAATGGCACAACCGGGTGGAATAACTTTGAATAAGCTTCTGTCTCTCAGCCTTCAGATCTCTTGTGTAACAGAGGCACAACCTGTCTAACAGGTTCGTAGTTAAGGATCAGAGATAACACACAGCTTTCACTAAATATAGAAGGGGGAGATTTTTTAAAAG